CATGGGGGTGGGAAGGATGGAGGGGCGGGAGGAGGAGGGGAGGAGGAGTGGAGATGAGAGGAAAGGAGAGGAGGAACGCGGGGCGCTGTCTCTTCGCTACGAGGACCCAACACCAGAGGATGGTTGGGGAAATTAGCATGGCGAAGGACCCAACCATATGTAGTTGTGAGTACTGTCGTTGCTTGCATCGCATTCGGGGGTGCTCCGTATGGGGCCACGAAACGTGTGAGGGGTGTGCCAAATATTGTGCGGTGGGCGCATGTGAAAGCAGCCACTGGGGCCGTCGGTGGAATGCCTCATGGGGCCACGAAACGTGTGAGGGGTGCGCCGAAATATGTGCGGTGGGCGCATGCGAACGTAGCCACTGGGGCCGTCGGTGGAGTAGACACCATGCTGACTGCGCCACTGGGACCTTAGGTGGAGCTCTCTGTGGGGCCACGAAACGTGTGAGGGGTGTGCCGAAATGGGGCGGCGCCGCCATGCGGACGGCGCCACTGGGACTTTAGGTGGAGCCCCCTATGGAGACACGAAGCGTGTGACGGGTGTGCCGAAATGGGGCGGCGCCGCCATGCGGACGGCGCCACTGGGACCTACGAAACGTGTGAATGTGTGTGCCGACATGGGGCGGCGCCGCCATGGGGACTGTGCCACTGGGACCTTTGGTGGAGCTCCCTATGTGGCCACGAAGCGTGTGGCAGTGCTCTATTGCCCGGTTCGATTGCTTAAACACTGGTTAAATGGAGTTTTCCCTGGGCGACTGGGGAAATGAGCAGTGGCTGGACGACCTCGCTCGTATTAAACCATGGGGCCACGAATCGTGTGAGGGTGTGCCGAAAGGGAGGGTTGAACCGCATGCGAACGGGCCTTCGGTGGAGCTGCCTATGGGGCCACGAGACGTGTGAGGGGTGCGCCGAAATTGGGATGCAACAACATGCGAACCCTGCCACTGGGGCCTTCGGTGCAGCTCCCTATAGGGCCACGAACCGTGCGAGGGGTGCAAAGGAGGAGAGGAGGGAGGAGCGGGAGGAGGAGGAGTGAGAACGCGGGGCGCTGTCTCTTCATAACGAGAACCCCACACCATAGGATGGTTGGGAACAACTCTCTTCCCGGTCCCCGCCAAGGCTGGCGCCCACAGCGTGAAGAAGCTCGGGCTGGCGGGGCTCTGGGGGGAACGCAGCAGCATGGACTGAGGAGGTCGTCGTCGTCGTCGTCGTCGTCGTCGCCGTCCTCATCCTCATCCTCCTCATCCTCCGCAGGCGGGCTGCGTGTTCGGTCGGCCGCGCTCTGTGATGGGGGCCGGCACGCTTCCCCCGGTATTCTCATTCTTCTCCTCCTCCTCCTTCTCCTCCTCCTCCTCCTTCTCCTCCTCCTCCTCATCCTCCTCCCCTCCCCCTCCTTCTTCAACCTTTCCTCCTCCTCCTCCTCCTCCTGCGCACATCCCTGCGGGACAACGGTGTCCGTGGTGTTCGAAACCGCAGCAGGAAGCGCTTGGGCAGGTGCCTCCAGAGACTGCCAAACCAGGATGCCTAGGTGTCTGTTGGGGTCCACGCGGGCAGGGGCAGGCGGGCGTTGCCTCAGAAGGTCCTTGTAGTGAGCCACTTGGTCGGGGTCCTTGAGGGCTTTTGTGTCATGGGTGAGGCGGCGATCCTGACGCGTCCGTGCATTAGCGACAGCCGCGATATCCAATCGACCGCGAGGTGATGCCGCCAACTCTCGTGTGGGCGTTCAAAAAAGAAAAGCAACTGCACCCGTCATTTCTCAGTGAGCGATCGCAGATGCTGCTGATTCACGCTGCTGCGCCGTGTACTCCGTGCCGTTGTGCAACGCGTGCGCCACCATGAGGGTGCGAGAGAACGTGGGAACATGTTAATTTGTACTGAGAAGTCTCGGATGTTGCTACAATTCTATTTCCAATCGGAGTTCTTTGCACTTGATTTCCAATAGCATTCCTGAACACTCGGCTTCCATCAGGACCTCCTACAGTCGGTTTCCAATCGGATTCCTTTATAATCGGTTTCCAATGCGAATTCACTCGCAATCGGCTTCCAAATTCGAATTCCTATACAGTCGGTTTTTAATTGGATTTCCAATACAATCGGTTTCTAATGAGATTCTTTTGTAGTCGGCGTCCATGAGGAATTCCTATGCAATCGGTTTCCTAACCAAGAATTCGCGCACAATCTATCGTCAATAATATTCCTGTACAGTCGGTTTCCAAAAGGAATTCCTTTACAATCGACTTTCACTAGGATGCCTTTTCAATCATTTTCCAAGATGGGTTCCTTTGCACTTGGTTTCCAGAAGGATTCCTGCACAATCGATTTCCAATCTGATTTCCTACATAGTCGGTGTCCAATAATGCTCCTATACAGCCGGTTTCCAACGGTATTCCTATACACTCGGTTTCGAATGGGATTCCTATATAATCGGTTTCAAATTGGGGTTCCCATGCAACAAGTTTCGAATATGTGGATTTCCATAAAGAAACCTTTACAATCAGTTTCCAAAAGGATTCCTAAACAAACGATTGCCAATATAATCCCAATACATTCGATTCCCAATCGAGTTGTTAGACAATCGATTTCCAATCGGGTTCCTTGACGACCGCTGTCCAATAGGATTCCTATGTTTCGATTTCCAATCGGGTTCCTATGTAATCGATTCCCAACAGGATTCCTAAATAACCCGACCTTGATAGGATTCCTTTACAATCGGTTCCCAATCGGAATTCTTTTACTATGATTTCCAATCTGATTCCTTTACCATCAATTTCCATTCGGAATTCCTGCGCAGTCGGTTTCCAATCGAATTCCTTTACGATCGGTTTTCAATAAGAATTCCCTTGCAATCGCTTTCAAATCGGACTCCTGCACAAGCGGTTTCCATAGGACTCCGACAGAACCGGTTTCCAATAGGATTCCGTTGTAGTTGGTTTCTAGTCGGAATTCCCATGCAATCGGTTTCCATTTGGTTTCCCCGACGTTGGATTTCCAAAAGGAAACTTTTACAATCGGTTTCCATAGGATTCCTATACAACAATTTTTCGAATATGTGGATTTCCAAAAGGAAACCTTTACAATCAGTTTCCAAAAGTATTCCTATACAAACGATTGCCAGTAGGATCCCAATGCATTCGATACCCAGACGGGTTCTTAGACAATCGCTGTCCAATCGGGTTTGTTTTCAATCGGTTTCCAATAGGATGCCCATGCTTCGATTTCCAATCGGGTTCCTATACGATCGGTTTCCCAAAAAGGATTCGTATACAACCCGTTGTCAATAGTATTCATTTACAATCGGTTTCCAGTCTGATTTTTTAACATTTGACTTCCAGTAAGACTCCTGTACAATCGGTTTCCCATAGAATTTCCTACAGTCACTTTCCAATCGGATTCCTTTACAATCGGTTTCCAAAGAGAATCCCTCGCAATCGGCTTCCAATACAAACTCCGAGATTTCCCATGCAATCGGTTTATCTCAAGATTCTTTTCTAGTCGGCTTCCATGAGGAATTCCTATACAATGTGTTTCCAAACTAGGAACTCCTATACAATCTGTTGTCAATCGGATTCCTGTGCAATCAGCTTCCGAAAGGAATTCCTTTTACAATCGATTTTCAATAGGATACCTTTTCAATCATTTTCCAATATGGGTTCCTTTGCACTTGGTTTCCACAAGGATTCCTGCACAATCGATTTCCAATTTGATTTCCTGCACAGTCGGTGTCCAATACTGCTCCAATACAGCCAGTTTCCAACAGTATTCCGATACACTCAGTTTCCAATGGGATTCTTATATAATCGGTTTTCAATAGGATTCCTACATAATGAATTCCGAATCTGATTTATTACATAATCGGTTTCCAATCTGGTTACTATGCAGTCGGTTTTCAAAAGGACTCCTGTTCAATCGGTTTCCAATCGGCAATCGGTTTCCCATAGGATTCCAATCCAATCGATTTCCAATATGATTCTTTCACAATCGGCTTCCAATCGGAATCCCTATTGGCAAATGATTGTATACGAATCTCATTGGAAACCGAAAGCAAAGAAATTCCTTTTGGAAATTGTCTGTAAAAACAATACTATTGATGGGAAACCGATTGCCCGACGGCGGAGTCAGCGACGGCGGCTACTGTGACGTGAGCGATGACGACTGCGACGACGACGACCATGTAATTGTCATTTCGATGTTCGCAGTTGCGTAGCACGCCATGCGATTGCATTGATTGCGCATTGATTTTGACTTGCTCGACGGCGGAGTCGGCGACGGCGGCTACTGCGACGTGACTGGTCACGACGGCGACGACAAGACCCATGTAGTTGTCATTTCGATGTTAGATCTTACGTGCACGCCATGCGTTTGCGTTGATTGCTCATTGGATTCGACTTGCGCGACGGTGGAGTCGGCGACGGCGGCTACTGTGACGTGAGCGATGACGACGGCGACGACGACAACCATGTAGTCGTCATTTCGATGATAGAATTTACACGATGGCTTTCCTACAGTTTTGACCATCCACGTAGGCGTGCGCCCTCCTTCCCCCGTGCCATTCTTCGACCTGGGGCCCTTTGGCGGAGTAGATTTGGGCCCGCAGTCGGGTTCTCTGAGGTAATTGCATTGTCATTGCCAGGAAGACAAACTTACCCCGCGAGTTTTTCACACGGAGCAACTCAGTTCGCCGCCGGGGGTGAATTCACCTCGCTGAAATAACTCATTCCGCGTCCTCTTAATTTCACTCCGCGCCGTGCTATCACGAAGGTGAGCGGTTTCTGCGCTCATGCACGCTCTGTTTGACGCAGTGCCGCTTGAGGATGCGCTCACGCCGCCTACCTCGATTCACATGCGCACCGTGGCAGAAAGATCACATACATCTAGTAACAGGTTAGCACGCCATGCGTTTGCATTGATTGCGCATTGGCTTTGACTTGCGCGACGGCGGAGTCGGCGACGGCGGCTACTGCGGCTCTGAACCTCGTTCCGCTCCGCGCTATCACGAAGGTAGGCGGCTCCTGCGCCCAGGCACGCTCTGCCTCGACGCAATGTCGCTTGAGGATGCGCTCGCGCCGCCCATCTCGATTCACATGCGCACCGTGGCAGACTGGTCACAAACATGTACACATTGTTCGTTTCTAATTCTTCGAAGGTTTTTTTTTGGGGGGGGGGCCAAGATCCTTTCATTCCTAATCGTTCTATCCTGGGCCTCTTCCTTTCCACTGGGGGGCCAGGGATAATTAGAAACGAGCGCGATTAGAAATGAGCACGGTTGGAATTGAACGACGTGTAGTAATGGGGTAGTAGTTGTGTTTTCTCCTTGATTTAGTTTCGTTATCGGAAAGAAGCTGTCTTAGTGTAGAGGATTGTTTTTGGAAGTACATGCTATTTCTCCAACATGATTTTGACAACCCCTTGGCCTCGTAAATCCCCCCTGGAGCTTGTCAGAACTATTTCTAGGGTTCCGGGCAGAATTTGTTCGAGGACGGAGCCGGGCGCACAATGTTTTAATTTGTTCAATTTTCTTTTAGTAGCAGTCCCGACCCTGTCCCCGAGACCAGTTTTCCAGCCCCAGACAGTTTTCTGACGGCCCCCAGGACCCCCGTGGCCGGGGGGGGACAGGGCCCGCGTGAGACGAACGGGGCTCCCATTCTTCGAGGCTGAAGCGGGGATGGGTGGGCCAGGGTCCTGGCCGCCATACTCGGGACGGATGAGAGGGGTTCGGTGGATCCCGCCGCATCGCCGATGAACCAGAGACGCGGCGCTGTCTCGAGCGTCTTCTCTTCATCCCAGTGTCGCCGGCGCGTCGCCGATGCGTCGGCGGTGCAGTGCGCCCGTCCGACTCCCAGCTGTCCCACCAGGGCGGCTTCCACGGGTCGGGTTGACTCAAAGGGGGGTCCAGCGACAAGGGGGTGGTGCAATAGATTTGGTGCAATACATTTGTGGGGTTGCAGTGCATGGGGGGCGTGCAACACATTTCGGGGCGCAAATGCATTGCTGTATTTTCGCGTGCGATAAATTACTTGCAAATGCATTTGCAATACGATTGCCCCAAATCTAATGCGCCACCCCTTTTCAGCTGGACCCCCTTGTGGGTCACCCAAAACGGGGACGGAAGAGTGGAGGAAGCGTGGGGGGGAGTGATCAGGAGCAGGGGAAGGAGGAGGAGGAGGAGGAGGAGGAGGAGGAGGAGGAGGAGGAGGAGGAGGAGGAGGAGGAGGAGGAGGAGGAGAAGGAGGAGCAGGGAGGAGGAGCAGGAGGAGGAGGGAGCAGGAGGAGGAGGAGGAGGAGGAGGAGCAGGAGCAGGAGGAGGGAGGAGGAGCAGGAGGTGTCTTGACTCGCTCGGGTGCCGTCTGGGAAGCCTCCGGGCGGCTCCCACGGGGGCGGAGGAGGGAGCCGCCCGCGCCACGCCGCCCGCGCCGCCGCGGACGGGCAGGTGCCGTCCTGCCCCTTCGCGACGGACTACTTCGAGAGGGCGCCGCCGGAGGCGGGCGCCGCCCGCCCGGCCCGCCACCGCCGACCCGCCTCGCCCCGCGCCCGACGGGGCTTGCAGCCTCCAGCCTGAATTAGGTCGGGCCTGTCCCTCCATAGGAGGAGGCAGATTCAACAACAGTCAAAGATTACTCAGGGGACGATTGTTGGACCATGCTTGATTGTTTTGGAGTATTTTTGGGGCGTTTCTTATGTTTCGTCCAAAATCCGCCTGTATGGGGGACAGGCCCGACCTCCAGCGTGAAGGGTGTGCGACTCGGCTCGGTCGGCAGCGTCGCCGCCAGCCGCATTCGGCCGGTTCGGTTCGGTCCAGTTCGGTTCGGCTGGCTTTCTGGGAGCTCCTGCGTTTCGTCTGGGCCCGATTCGGGTAAGCTTGGGGCTGTTCTGGCCCTGTCGGAAGAGGGATGATCAGGAGGAGGAGGAGAAGGAGGAGGAGGAAGAGTGGAAGAAGCGTGGAGGGGAATGATCAGGAGGAGGAGGAGGAGGAGGAGGAGGAGGAGGAGGAGGAGGAGGAGGAGGAGGAGGAGAGGAGGAGGAGGAGGAGGAGGAGGAGGAGGGAGGAGGAGGAGGAGGAGGAGGAGGAGGAGGAGGAGGAGGAGGAGGAGGAGGGAGGAGGAGCAGGAGGTGTCTTGACTCGCTTTGGTGCCGTCTGGGAAGCCTCTTGCAGCCCTCCTGGGTCCTCAAGTGCGCGCCCTTCTCCTCAGCCTTCGGCTCGTCGCTTTCGGCCCCCGTCGGTCTTGCTGTCGGCTCGCTTGGGGTGCGGCTCTGCCGTCGCCGCGAGCGTCCGCGGCGTAGGCACCCCCGAGGCCGTCCCGCAGGGCTGGACCCAAACGCTGTTTTGCTGTACTTCGGCTGTGTTTTGCTTTTCGTTTGGACAGGGAGGTACAGGAGAACAGGTACTCCAGATTTCGTAATAAAAGGGAGGGGGTCTCAACCCTCCCAGACGAAAAGTTTTAGACCCCCCCCGTGGGAGAACCCTCCAAAACATCGTCCCCAGACCCCCCCAGACCCTCCAAGATAGCCTGGAAGAGACCCCCCCCGAAATGAGACCCCCCTCCCTTTATTACGAAATCTGGAGTACAGTCAGCCAGCATCGGACTCCGAGTTGGGCTCCGGTGTCTCCAATGGAGGCCTACTAGCCTGCCGATTTCCGTCGATTCGGCTTTTCCCGACTCGGCTGCCGATGTCCGCCGATCCGACTCATGTCGATCGCCGATCCGACTTATCGATTCGATTCTGGGCTCTCCTGTGATGACTAGGGGGGGCCATGATAGTTCCTCGTATTTCATGGCGCCTGTTCTTATTGCATTGCGTTCCCAGCCCCCCCACCCCTGGGCCGCGCGCATGCCGCCGGCCATGATTTGCGCCCCCCCCCCCCCTCTCAGACGCCCTCCTCATGGCCGCCCCCGAGTAGGAGTGACCTTTCGCAGGAGTGACGTTTGCTGCGGGCACACGATGATGGGCCCGTTTTCCACCACCACCATAAGTTGGAGGGGGAAAGGAGGTCGAGGCTGAGGAGGGCGAGGAGGAGGAGGAGGAGGAGGAGGAGGAGGAGTAGAGGGAGGAGAGGAGGAGGAGGAGGACGAAGAGGAGATGACGAAGGAGGAGAGGACGAAGTGGAGGAGGAGGAGGAGGAGGATGAGGAGGAGGAGGAGGAGGAGGAGGAGGAGGAGGAGGAGGAGGAGGAGCAGGAGCAGGAGCAGGAGCAGGAGCAGGAGGAGGAGGAGGACCCCCCTCCCCCTCCAACTTATGGTGGTGGTGGTGGAAAGCAGGCCCATCGCACGAGGGCCCCCAGATGGCTGAACACGATGCGATAGCCGCGGCCTCCGCGTTCGGGCTTGGCGCCCCGGCGCCCCCCCGGACGTCGCGCACCAGAGGCAGTTAATAACTCTTGCCTAGGGTCCCTCTTGCGTGTCCGCCTTCTGCAAATTCCGCGCGGCAGGAGCAGAAAGTCTAGGCCGAAGGACAAGGATCGGCGGCGAGTCCAGAAGGGGAGCGAGAAGGGGCGGGCCTTCTCAGAAGACCTCTCAGAAGGCCAGAGGCCTTCTGAGAAGGCCTTCTCCTTGTCACTTCCTCCCCTCGCTTGCCGCCGAAAGGAAGAGGGCCCGACACAGCCAGGATCGTCGAAGAGATTTGAGGCGCTGCAGTGCTCCTCTGCTTCCTCAGCCCCGCTGCCCAGGATGGCCCTGGGAGTGCTCAGGAGTCGGCTGCGCGTAAGAGTGACCCTTCGTCGGCGCGGCCTCCGCCGCGTGCCCGAAGGTGTCCCCGCCGGCACCAGCGTGCGCGCTCGGATCTGGCCTCCCCACGGCCCCCGAGAGCCGCGCACTGCAAGTCACCCTTGCCCAGAAGGTCCCTCCTGCGCGCAGCAGCGGGCGGGGCTGGCCCGCACTGGGCCCCCATAAGGGGCTTTTGGATATGTCTGGAGGCCCGATCTTAAGTCGGGCCTGTCCCCCTACAGGAGGGAAATTCAAAAGTAGTTAAAGAAATAGTCAGGGGACGATTTTTTGATAATTTTTGAATATGTTTGGCGTATTTTTGATTTTTCGTCCCAAATCCGCCTGCAGAGGGACAGGCCCGACTTAAGCCTGAGCTCCTTCAGCCTCTGGACGCCTCCTGGTGCCATAAAGGGTCGAAGGCGCCCGAAAGCTCCCAGAGACAGCCCCGAGAGCGGTTCCCAGGGCGGGCCGAGGGAGTCTCCGAAGGGAGGGCTCTCCCACCCAGCCTTGGCGAGGAGGCCGGGACTGGGCGGGGTCTCCTGCGAGAGGTGGCAGGGGCAGCGGGCTGGACAGTGAATCACGGAATCCTCCGCTCGTCTACGATTGAATGTACACATCGGCGGATAGCGTCCATTAGCGCTCCATAGCGCTAGATAGCGTCCAATAGCACCCAGTGGCCTCGAATATCGTTCAAATCGTGTCGAATCGCGACCAAGAGCGTCGAGCAGCCCCATGTGAGGAAGCTGCATTATGTCCGCTTGGCGCGGGATTGGTCGCGCTAGTAGGCGCCATGGGGAGGACTAAGAGCTTCCCTACATTGCTTTCTAACTGTGTGGGTGCCTCCCCAGCCACCACCTGCTGCGCATCCTCCTTTTGACAATTAGCCTCGGGGCGAGGCAGAGCGTAACCCAAGAGAGACAGAGAGAGAGAGAGAGAGAGCAGCGGCAGGTGAAATATAGCAGGGGGAAGGTGCGGGCCCAATAATATACACCACCACCACGTCGTTACCTCCTCCCTCCTCCACAACCCCATCTCCCTCTCCTCTTTCCCGGGGGAGGGAGGGGATGAGGGAGGTGGTGGTGTTGGTGGTGTATGCCTTTGGGCCCCGTAGAAAAAGAGCAGCGGCGCGCCCGACACGACGACGCAACACCCCGAGGGGGCCCGGGGGCACAGGGAGCAGGGGGCAAGCAGCCTCCCCACCGCAGCGCTGGCCCACTGGGGCCGGGGCGCAGGCTGCTTCCCTTGCACTCCTCCTCCGCCTCCTCCTCCTCTTCCTCCTTCTCCTCCTCCCTCCATTCCTCCTCCTCCTCCCTCCATTCCTCCTCCTCCTCCCTCCATTCCTCCTCCTCCTCCTTCTCCTCCCCCTCTCCTCCTCCTCCTCCTCCTCCTCCTCCTCCTCCTCCACCTCCTCCTCCTCCTCTTCTCTCCTCCTCCTCCTTCTCCTCCTCCTCCTCCTCCTCCTCCTCCTCCTCCTCCTGCGCGTTCGCGTCGCGTGAGGGCTCCCCTCCGCTAGGCGGCCAAACAAGACCGCGTCCCCCCCGCGGCGATGTTCGCTTATCCTTTCCCTCCTCCTCCTCCTCCTCCTCCTCCTCCTCCTCCTCCCGACGTGGCCGTCCAGGAACGGGTCCAGTGGAACCCACACTTGATCACCATCGCTTTCGGGGGGCTCCCTCTCCATAGGCCCCTCGAAGGCCGAAGGGCACCACAGATGGAATTCCTGGAGGGCAGCCCTGGCCACTGGGGTACAAATGTGTCTGGGATAGTTTGGCATTTGACCGCATGGGTCGCCATCTCAAAGCCTCCTCTGTCCCCTTGAGCACTTCGCGGGCGTTCGCGCCGTGTCAGCAGAGTCCCTGCCCCCTGGAGCCCTGAACCGCCCAAAGCGAAGCTTGTAATTGCAACGTGATGAGCAGGAAGGGCTTGCGAAAAACCGCCCTGGACATGCACTGGCCGATACGTACTTCTCTGGCCACGGGTTGCTGCCCAAGGAAGCGTCGTTCTGGCAGCCAACAAGTGGAGGGCCCCCCCCCGCGCGAAAGGGGGAGCTGGATGTTCCATCACTACTTGGATGCCCATAAAAATAAGCCCCGATTCAGGATCGTGCGTAAAAACACGTTCCCATTCACGACTTTTTAGTCGCTTCTTTTTCGGCCGGGTCGCCAAGGCCCCACGAGACCTTGGAGGTTCTGAGCTGGCACGGGGGTGTGGTCCTCTTCACGCAGACAGTCTGAGACCTCGCGCGCGACACCATTTCTCACAAGGCGGGCCCGCCCAGAAACCCGCGACACGTTTCCCCAACACCGTCCAAAACGCGACTGTATCTGCGCGTGCATGTGCTCCTGGCCGCCCAGGCCAGGGCGAGGCCACTCTGGGAAGCAGCCTGAGACCATACATGCCGCTCTTGCCACGAAGTGCACGCGTGTACTTGTGGTGCGTCGTGTTCGTCTCCTTCATCGCCCTCCTTCTCCAAGCCAGCGCTTAACAACATCTCCCCTGCCGCCCAGGGAAGCACGCACTCGCGGACGGCCCAGCGCGTGATGGGCCGGGAGCTCCCCGCCTTCTTTCTGCACCTGCCTCCGAGGGCCACGGGAGGACGACAAGGACCAGGACGAGGACGAGGACGAGAAAGACGAGGGCGAGGGCGAGGGCGAGGAGGCGGAGGAGGAGGAGGCGGAGGAGGAGGAGGAGGAGGAGGAGGAGGACGAGGTCGAGGACAAGGACGAGGAGAACGAGGACGAGGCCGAGGACGACGCCCTCCCTCGTCGGCGCTGCGTGCGCCGCCGAGGGCCGCCGCGGGGCCGTTCGACGGGCCGCCGAGGGGGGCCGCGCGGCCCGTCGGAGCCCGCCGATGGGGCCGCCGAGGCGGGCGGCAGGCCGCGCCCTCCGCGCCGAGGAGCCCCTGGAACGCGCCGCCGCGGCGCCCGCGGCCGGGCGCGCGGGAGGCCGGCCCGCGCTCGGCGCAGATGTTGCCGCCGCCCGCCGCCGCCGGCCGTCGGCCTGCCCCAGGCAGCGGGCGTCTCGAGACAGGTCGAGGCGGAGGTTTTCCTCAATTTTTGGCCTCTCGGGGCCCTCGCCGGGCCTCGGGACCGTCGAATAACGACTCGGGATGAAAAACCGGTCCCGGGGAAGTGGTCGGGAGGTCGGGGGCCCGTGTCTCGAAAACATCGAGACGTCGGATGTCTGGGGCGACGTCCCCGCAGGGTTGCTCGACGGCCTGCGTCGCCGGCCTTCGTCGCAGGCTTTCGATCGGCTGCACGCAAGAGTGACCCCTCGCGCTGGAGGGACCCTTTGTGCGGGCCCCATGGGGCCTCCCGCTCGCCGAGTGCGATGCGACAGCAGTGGCTTGCGCGCCTGGTGGTGTCTCCAAAGGGCCCCCTTTTTAGGCCGCGCACCAAAGGCCACTTTGGCCCAGGGTCATTCTTGCGTGTAGCCGATTCGGCGCCTGTTGATCAACGGGCTGCGGGTGTCGCTCCGCATCCGCCAGGGCCCTCAGGGCCACTGGCACTCTCACCGTCACCACCTTCCACCCGCCCCCCACCCACGGTGAGGCAATTTTGTTTGGCATTTCCAGGCCGCGCGGGGAGGATCTTTTGCTGGCAGTTGTAGCCCGCTGCGGTGAGGATATGTTGCTGGCCAGTGTTGGGTCGCTGGGGTAAGAATGACTTTCTGGCAGTTGCAGGCCAAGGGTGTGAGGATATTTAGCTGGATTTGTTTAGTCCACGGGGTGAAGATATCTATCCTGGTGTTGGACCTTCGTTTGAAAAGACAGCGTCCCGCGTCTCCCTCCCGCTGCCCCTCTCCTCCCCCTCCCCCATCCTTACATCCCTGCCTCTGCCCTCGCACCAGTCACATTTCGGTACACCCCTCGCGCGTTTCGTGGCCCCATAGGGAGGTCCCCCGAAGGCCCCAGTGGCAGGGTTCGCATGCGCCCCTCCGCACTATTTCGGCAACCCTCAGGCTGCAGTGGCAAAGTTCGCATGCGTCCTCCCGCACCATGTCGGCACACCCCTCACAAGTTTCGTACACGGTTCGTAACCACATAGGGAGCTCCAGTGAGGGCCAATGTTTGCATGCGTCCCTCCACACCACTTCGGCACCCCTCACGCGTATCGCGGCCCCATGGGAAGCTCCCAGTGGCAAAGTTCGCACGCGTCCTCCCGCACCATGTCGGCACACCCCTCACACGTATCGTGGCCCCACAGGGAGCTCCACCGAAGGCCCCAGTGGCAGGGTTCGCATGCGCCCCCCCGCACTATCTCGGCACACCCCTCGCGCGTTGCGTGGCCCCATAGGGAGCTCCACCGACGGCCCCAGTGGCAGGGTTTGCATGCGCCCCCCCGCACCATTTCCGCACACACTCGCACCTCCGAGGGCCGCAGTGGCAGGGTTGGCATGCGCCCCCTGCACCATGTCGGCACATCCCTCACACGCTTGGTGGCCCCATAGAGAGTTCCACCTGAGGCCCCAGTGGCAAAATTCGCACGCGCCCCCCCCGCATCATTTCGGCACACCCCTCACACGTTTCGTGGCCACATAGGGCGGTCCACCGAAGGCCCCAGTGGCAGGGTTCGAACGCGCCCCCCCTCATCATTTCCGCACCCCTCACTCGTACCGTGGCCTTACAGGGAGCTCCACCGAAGGCCCCAGTGGCTGCATTCGCATGGCACCACCGCGCCCATGTCAGTACACCCTCACACGTTTGGTGGCCCCACAGGGAGTTCCTCCGAAAACGGTTCCCACAACGCTGTATTCAAAGCTGTATGCCTATACATACATATATATATATACACATACACGTGGTTGGGTCCTGCGCCCGGATTTTTTTGCTTTGAGGGGTAACGGGTTGAGGATGTCTTGCTTGCAGTTTCAGGCCGCTTGGAAATAGGGTGGTGAGGGTAGTTTGTTGGCAGTTGTTGGCCAGGGGGCGATAACATTCAGCTGGCAGGTTTTTTTGCCACGGGTTGAGGATGTTTTGCTTGCAGTC